GCGTAAATGGGCGGGGCGGATATGACGATCCGAGAGGGAGGAGTCAGGGTGACGTGGGGGAGAAGTTATAGCGGGGAGACAGGAAGCTATCTGGGTCAGTCGGGGGAGTGAAGGGTGGTGAACACGTTGGGTGGTCGCCGTGCCTCAGCCTGGTGGCTGAGGGGCTCATGACGGCGCCAGCCAGCGGGGTGGAAGAGAAAGTGGAGGATTGAGGTAGGAAGTGGCGAGATAGCCACAGAGGCCACGAAGGGCTGAGGTAGGAAATGGCGAGATAGCCACAGAGGCCACGAAGGGCTGAGGTAGGAAATGGCGAGATAGCCATAGAGGCCACGAAGGGCTGACATTGGGAGGTGGCGAGATCGCCACGCACGGAGGAACAGGGAGCAGAGATGGAGCTGCTGGGGGAGCAGCCAGAGGGCTGTACCAAGAGCCTGCAGCGGAACTGCAGGAGCGTGGAAGGCTACGGGAGCGAAGGCAGATGTGGGGCTGCCAGGGAAAGAGTCTCAGGAGGAGTGCCGTGTGGGAAGGAGAACGCGAACCCCAAATAAAGGACACGGAGTCAGCGAGAAGCGTCTGAGTCCTTTTATTACACTAGTAACGAATTGGTATGTTCTGTTACGTGACAAACCTTACTAATTGGCTGTGTCAGGTGGTGGCGGGTTTAATGATATATTTATATATTTACACGATCTAACCCAAAAAAACCTGCATTTTGCGACTATTTCTGGCCATGTATATCTGCCGACGGGTAGGATCAGGTCGCGGGTTTTACGGAGTGTGCGTGTCGTAAACCGCCAGCTCACAGGTCACAACCTTCCTTGCAGTCCATCACAGTCTCCAGAGTGAACGAGCTCATCGCCCTTGATATTCTCACCAAAAGGAGATGAATTTATCTTGGCGGGAGTCAAATACTTCATGAGATGGCCATTGGCCTGGTTACTACCTTATCAGACAGCCGTGTCAATTGCGGATGCACTCCTGCACGGATATGTGATGGACAAGAGCCCCCCAGAACAGCTCCTCAATGATCAAGGAACTACATTTTTCATCGAAACTCCTCCAAGAAGGTTGCGAAGCACTGGGCATGAAGAAGATTTTGCACTTCCCCATACCACCCTCAGACGGATGGTATGGTGGAATGGCTGAACAGAACGATAACATCCATGCTCTACCACACTGTTGATGAGGCGCAAACCGACTGGGATCTCCATGGTTCCGGAGGTCTTGGCAGCATGTAGACTGGCTCCACATGCCTCCACAGGATTTCCCACATTTTTCCTCATGTACGGTCGTGAGCCGGATCTTCCCATAGAAACCCAGTTGGGTAAAACCCCTGCAGGTGCGTCCGACCAACCTGCGTCCTTGCAGGTCACGCTTGACCGACTATTTGAAGCAGGCACAGTGGCAATGGCGAGCGCGGCGATATCACAGGCCGCTAACGACCGAAATTCAAGGCGACCGGTTCACACACTTCCCTGGGCAGTAGCAGATGAGGCGTGGTTGCATTCGCCGCAGGTCCCCATTACGTACCTCTTCCGAACTGCACCGACCGTGGCAGGGCCAGGTAGAAATCGTTGAAGTAAATCGGCTGCAATGTGTACGCGTGCAATTGGAACGTCGTTGTTGGTTTATTAACCAGTCGTATCTCAAAACCTGCCTTCATCGTCACCCAAGCACCTCATCTTTATGTCCTGTTCCGCCAGAGTCTGGGGTGTCCGACAAGCCACAGCAGCCGCCCGGAGAAATGGAATCACCTGTGCATGCTCCTGTGCCACCCACAGCACCGAGCCAAATAGCACACGACTCACTGCTGGACCCTGCAGCATCCTGCGGTCTGGCAACAAGGACCTATGCAAGATGTGCGCGGTTGCGCTAACCCTGTTCCTGACGGGGCAAGAGATTGCCACCCCCCGTTGTTCCCACAGTCTCGTGGATGTGTTGACTAACTGTGGGAGGTGCATAATCCGTGCGCCGAAATTACTCACACCACACAATCGCTTTTTCATGTAAATGTTAATTACCATAAGTCAGACACAGGGTCACATTATTAAGAGGTCATTAAGTTCGAGTGGGTGGAGTTCCCCTTGGCTTCCCGTGCTCTGTTGGACTGGTCATTTACCTCCTTGGTATTAGCCGGGATGGCACGTTTTTTTTAAAGGGTCTAGAATGGATACTTACCAAACTCTTTGGTGCAGGTAAACAGAACATAGCATGTTAGATACGCACATTAGCAAGTCCATGCAATGCCAAGACATGTTTTTTTTGGGTGATGTAATGACCGAGGCAACATACCGCTTACCTGACATAAGCGAACATACGATTGGCCAGTCAGGAAGTTAATCAAGGCCTCTGATTGGTGCAGGGAATACTCAAAGACGATTGGTTAGGAAAATAGATTCAAAGGGATTGGAGGAGAGATTCAAATGTAAAAGGCGGGAAAGGAGGGTTGACGGTAGGGGCGACGGTTGACAACTACTGCATTGGAGGAGGACGACGAGGATTGGCTGAGTGAAATGGGGGTGAGTGAAGCTTCCAGAAAGGGGACTTGGAGGATATACAAGCGGAGAGCACGAGGGGAGGGGATGGTTGGAGAGAAGACGAAGTCCAAGCATCAAGAACCGAAGCCCCGGTCTAGAAATAGTATTGTGTCCGAAATGAAGGCTCTTAGTAAAGACGAACGTGTGTCGAAGTCACTACACTTCTATGGGCAGTGTTGAGTCTATGGGCAGTGCTGAGTCTATGGTGCAATGCTGAGTCTATAGGCAGTGTTGAGTCTATGGGCAGTGCTGAGTCTATGGGCAGTGCTGAGTCTATGGTGCAGTGTTGAGTCTATGGGCAGTGCTGAGTCGATGGGTAGCAGTGTTGAGTCTATGGGTAGTTGTGTGAGTCTATGGGCAGTGCTGAGTCTATGGGGAGTGTTGAGTCTATGGGGAGTGTTCAGTCTATGGGCAGTGTTGAGTCTATGGGCAGTGTTGAGTCTATGGACAGTGTTGAGTCTATGGGTAGTTGTGTGAGTCTATGGGCAGTGCTGAGTCTATGGGGAGTGTTCAGTCTATGGGCAGTGTTGAGTCTATGGTGCAGTGTTGAGTCTATGGTGCAGTGTTGAGTCTATGGGCAGTAGTGTGAGTCTATGGGGAGTGTTGGGTCTATGGGTAGCAATGTGAGTCAATGGTGCAGTACTCGGAGGACATCACGTGTCTGGCTGCCTCTATTCTGGCGCCTGGGTCGGATATCCTTGAACCTCGCCGCTGGCATCCCCCCCCCTTCTCCTAGGTTGACTCACGCCTCACGCGAGTCAGCTGTTTGAGGGGTCAAGCGACAAAAGGCGGCCGGGGAAATTAAAAAAGGCACGGTACTATCCCCACTTACACCCCCTACCCCATCCACAAAAGCTGATCCCACGGCTTACACTTGGCCAACATCCGCTGTGTGCAGCAACACGCGGATGGGGATGTTTGCCTCCGTGCTGGGTGTCACAGACGAGAACGCGGTGTCACCACTGAAACCACTTCTCTTATCTACGTCTCTCCATCTCCCCCCCCTACTCTTTCTCTCCAATCTGCCTCGCCTTCTCTCTCTTTTTTTACGATCAGAGGAAACAAGATGTTCGGTGTAGTCGGCATTTTGCTTCGTTCATCATTTAGTTTTTAAAAAAAATGTTTCTTTATGTAACCGCCCTCCCTTTTAAATGAAATATTTCACACTCTCTCCATTTCACGCCATCTCTCTTTGCATCTCTCCATCTCATGCCACCTCTCTCTCTCTTTCCCCCTCTCTCTCCGCCCTCACTTCAGGGCACCCTTCTGAACCCTGACGAGGCGGCTTCCCCGTCGTGACGTCACAAGCAGAGGTTCATAATGGCCGCGTCACGGTCACAGATTCTGGGAAATGTTTCTTGCTCTCTTTCTATAAATATCTCTCGCTTGATCTAGCTCTATCTCTACATCCACTCACCCTCTCAATCTCTCTCTCTCTCTTTCCCCTCCATGTCTCTCCCCCCCTCTCTGTCTTCATACCCCCCCCCCCTCTCTCAATCTCTCTCTCTCGCCCCCCCCCCCTCTCTCTCCATCTCTCTGTTCATCCATCTTTCTTGTTCCCTCTTTCTCCACCTCTTTCACTCCACCTCTCTCTCTCCTCTCCCTCCGTCTCCTTCTCTCCATCTTCTTCCCTCTGTCTCCCTCCCTCTCTATCTCTCTACCCCTGATATGTTAACTCCCTCGCCTAGTATGCAGGAGGTTGTGGGTTTGATTCCGACCCTCACGATGCCTGCTGCTGTGTATTTGGAGTCTGCAGTTCTCTCTCTCCCCGTGGTGGCCGTGTGGTCTCTATGCAACTCTATAGGTCTCCATGTAACTCTATGGGTTTCTATGCAACTCCACAGGTCTATACTGAAGACCTCCACAGCAGAAGCCAAACACCCCTGAGAAGGTCTAGATTTGAAGTTTTCTTGACTGCAGGGATCCATACTTTTTGGTTCTTTCGGTAAAGTCACGTAGGTATAAGATAAAATAAATTAAATCACAAATATCTACGTGACTTTACCGAAAGAACCCAAGAGTATGACCCCTGAGAAGAGTCATTAACCGCAATTTCGCCAATTATATATTTACCCCTTTTGTGCGGGGGATGGGGTGGGGGGAGCGGTGGCGCAGCGGTTAGCGCTCCGCTGCGAACCTGGCAGAGACCCGAGTTCGATGGTGTGCGGTGTGGAGTGAACATCGCCACTGGGGAGACAAAGGCGGCCGGGCGTGGTTGCTGGCCACCCACCCCCTCGTGTGCCACAGTGCCGGCCTTCATAAGTGCTCGCTAACAGCACTTGCCCCCAACATTCTATGCAGGCTACACGGGGGATCTTTGTACTTGTATGGGGGAGTGGGTGGGGGGCGTTCATGCTAATGAGTTGGGCGGGGTGTTTATGGTAATGAGATGGGCTGGGCGTGGTTATGCTAATGAGCACAGGTTTAAATGCCTGCGGTTGTCGGTAGCAGGGTACATTGCTTTGATAAGCAGCAGCGCCAGAGGTGACTGAAGTGGCAGGAGGAACGTAATGGCCAAATCGTCTAGAGTGATGGTGGTGGTGATGGTGGTGGCGATGACGGTGGCAATGATGGCTACGGAGGCAATGGCAGGTGAGTGATTGTGGTGGTGGTGATGGTGGTGATGATGGTGAGTGGGTGAGGTGGCTGAGTGCATGGGTGACTGAGTGGGTGGGTGAGTGAGTGGGTTGATGGGTGAGTCAGTGGTAGGTGAGTTGGTGTGTGAGTGGTTGAGTGAGTGGTTGAGTGAGTGGTTGAGTGATTGAGTGAGTGGGTGAGTGGGTGGTTAAGTGGGTTAGGTAGATGAGCACATGAGTGAGTGAGTGGTGAGTGAGTGGATGAGTAGGTTTGGTGGGTGAGTCGATGACTAAGTGGGTGAGTGAGTGGGTTGGTGGGTTAGTAAGTAAATGAGTGGGTGGGTGAGTGAACTGTTGGGCAAATGAGTAGGTGAATGACTCAATGAGTCAGTGGGTGGGTAAGTGAATGGGTGGATAAGTGAGTCACTTTGTGGGTGAGTGGTTGAGCCGGTAAATCAGTGAGTAGATTGGTGAGTGAATGAGTGGGCGAGTGAGTAGGTGAATGGACGAGTGGGTGAGTGAATTGGTTGGTAAATGAGTGGATGGTGATGATGTGAATGACGCTGCTGATGGTGATGATAGTAATGGTGATGATGTGAATGATGCTGCTGATGGTGATGATAGTGATGGGGATGATGTGAATGACGCTGCTGATGGTGATGATAGTGATGGGGATGATGCCACCGCAGTCTAATGAGGGCGCCTGGGGAGGGTATTAGCAGCAGCATTGCTTCAGCACAAGTAAACAAACTCTGGGCCGGGTTTCGACATTAAGTGTCTCATCAGCAGCAGAGCCAGGCTCTGCTTGAACCTGAAAGTAAACTATGTTTTTATTTTTATAGGTGTAAGGCCCCTCTGAGCAAGCTAGCTCTTTTTCAGAAGCGACCTGGCTATCAAAAATGATAGTCCAACGAAGTGGCTAATCACGTATACATTCATAGCGGCAGCCGAATACTCTAAACGCGTGATGTTTATTCTAAATGTAGAGGGGAAAACCAGAGGACAGAGAGAGAAAATCCACGCGACGATGGGGACAGACAGATAGAAAGAGACGCAGACTCCCGATTTACAGCAAGCATCGTCTGGGTCGGAATCGAACTCACGACCTCCTGTATACCAGGCGAGGTAGTTAACAGCTCGCAGGTTCCAGGATCGAACCCACGACCTCATGCACACCAGGCGAGGTAGTTAACATCTTGCAAGGTCCGGGATCGAACTCACGACCTCCTGCATACCAGGCGAGGTAGTTAACATCTTGCAAGGTCCGGGATCGAACTCACGACCTCCTGCATACCAGGCGGGAGGTAGTTAATATTTCGCAGGGTCAGGAATTGAACCCACGACCTCCTGCATACCAGGCGAGGTAGTTAACATCTTGCAGGTCCGGGATCGAACTCACGACCTCCTCCATACCAGGCGAGGTAGTTAACATCTCGCAGGGTCAGGAATTGAACCCACGACCTCCTGCATACCAGGCGAGGTTGTTAACATCCTGTAGGATCCGGGATCGAACCCACGACCTCCTGCATACCAGGCGAGGTTGTTAACATCTCCGAGCCACCGTGGTGCCCGATGCTGGCGAAATACCCAGTTGTTCATCGGCAAGGATCGTGTTGATACGAACCTGTGTGTGTTCATGGGTCCCTCTTTATCTCTCTCTGCTGGACATCTGTGAAAAAAAGCTTCATAGTTCATCGGATTTATAAATAAATGTTCTGATTTCTCTCCCCCCTCGACCGCGTGGCCCCCTTCTCGCTCCACGTGTGAAAGAGGTTCACGTGGTTCCTATGCAAATAACCACATTTCCTAGACCACGTGGCCTCCTTCTCACTCCACGTGTAAGGGCGTCACCTGGTCCACATGCAAATAACCCCCTCCCTAACCCACGTGGTTTCTTCCTCGTTCCACGTGTGAGGGGGTCACGTGGTCTCTATGGAAATAACCCCCCTCCCCCCCTAAGAGCTACAATATCACTGAAACAAATTTTTATTTGACCAGCTGTAAGGCCCCCTACTGAGCAATTAGCGTATTTTTCGGAAGCCCTGACCTGGCAAATCGCGAATGACAGCAGCTCAATGTAAGTGGCTGATATTATCATCACCATCATCGTGTGGAAATTCATAGTAGCAGCCAAATACTCTCTCTAGAGAGAGACGCGTGGTGATGTCGTTCATTCTAAATGTGGAGGGGAAAAGCCGGAGGAACCGGAGAGAAAAAAAAAACATTCTACACGTACACCCAGCAGGGTCGGGGATCGAACCCACGCCATCCTGCGTACCAGGCGAGGTCGTTAACATCTCGCAGGGTCGGGATCGAACTCACGAACTTCTGCGTACCAGGCGAGGTTGTTAACATCTCGCAGGGTCGGGATCGAACCCACTACCTCTTGCCTTCCAAGCGATGTAGTTAACATCTCGCAGGGTCCGCGATCGAACCCACGACCTCCTGCATACCAGGCGAGGTCGTTAACATCTCGCAGGGTCGGGATCGAACCCACGACCTCCTGCGTACCAGGCGAGGTGGTTAACATCTCGCAGGGTCGGGATCGAACCCACGACCTCCTGCGTACCAGGCGAGGTAGTTAACATCCCGCAGGGTCGGGATCGAACCCACGACCTCCTGCATGCCAGGCGATGTAGTTACTATCTCGCAGGGTCGGGATCGAACCCACGACCTCCTGCATACCAGGCGAGGTCGTTAACATCTCGCAGGGTCGGGATCGAACCCACGACCTCTTTCGTACCAGGCGAGGTGGTTAACATCTCGCAGGGTCGGGATCGAACTCACGAACTTCTGCGTACCAGGCGAGGTTGTTAACATCTCGCAGGGTCGGGATCGAACCCACTACCTCTTGCCTTCCAAGCGATGTAGTTAACATCTCGCAGGGTCCGCGATCGAACCCACGACCTCCTGCATACCAGGCGAGGTCGTTAACATCTCGCAGGGTCGGGATCGAACCCACGACCTCCTGCGTACCAGGCGAGGTGGTTAACATCTCGCAGGGTCGGGATCGAACCCACGACCTCCTGCGTACCAGGCGAGGTAGTTAACATCCCGTAGGGTCGGGATCGAACCCACGACCTCCTGCATGCCAGGCGATGTAGTTACTATCTCGCAGGGTCGGGATCGAACCCACGACCTCCTGCATACCAGGCGAGGTCGTTAACATCTCGCAGGGTCGGGATCGAACCCACGACCTCTTTCGTACCAGGCGAGGTGGTTAACATCTCGCAGGGTCGGGATCGAACCCACGACCTCCTGCGTACCAGGCGAGGTAGTTAACATCCCGCAGGGTCGGGATCGAACCCACGACCTCCTGCATGCCAGGCGATGTAGTTACTATCTCGCAGGGTCGGGATCGAACCCACGACCTCCTGCGTACCAGGCGAGGTAGTTAACATCTCGCCACTGACCAATCATCCGATCTCTCTCTCTCTCTGCCCCCCAGGTCACGGGGCCGCTCCCTCGCCCACGTGTCCGTGTCAGCTGGGGTCACCGCGGGGTCACGCGGCCGTCCCGTCTCGCTTCAACCTCAGCAAGATTCGACGCGCGCGCGTCACGTGTCCCAGCGCGGGCTGCCCCCTGCAGATAGTGTGAGCATCAGCAGTAGCAGCATCATCAGCAGTAGCAGCAGCATCATCAGCGGGAGCATCATTATCAGCAGTAGCAGCATCATCAGCGACAGCATCATCATCAGCAGCATCAATCATCAACGTCAGCAGCGGTAGCAGCATCATCATCAGTAGCATCATCATCAGCAGTAGCATTCAGAGCAACAGTAGCATCAGCGGGAGCATCATCAGCAGTAGCATCATCATCAGCAGTAACATCATCATCAGCAGCAGTAGCATCATTATCATCAGCAGTATCATCAGCAGCATCATCATCAGCATCAGCAGGAGCATCATCATCAGCAGCATCATCATCAGCAGCATCATCATCAGCAGTAGCATCATCATCAGCAGTAGCATCATCATCAGTAGCAGCATAAGCAGCATTATCAGCATCATCATCAGCAGCAGCATCATCAGCAGCATCATCATCAATAGCAGCATTGTCATCGTGAGCATGACCATCATTATCATCGCACCTCCGATTAGCACGGTTGGCTACGTACGGTGCGAAAGAAGTTCAACACACACTACACTCTCCTTGACGCCTTCCCACGTGGTAGAAGGGAGTGAGATGGAACAGATGGAGATTAGTCCACACGCCCACGTGGTAGAAGGGAGTGAGATGGAACAGATGGAGATTAGTCCACGCACCCACGTGGTAGAAGGGAGTGAGATGGAACAGATGGAGATTAGTCCACGCACCCACGTGGTAGATGGGAGTGAGATGGAACAGATGGAGATTAGTCCACGCACCCACGTGGTAGATGGGAGTGAGATGGAACAGATGGAGATTAGTCCACTTGCTGTATTGGTCACGTGGTGGTGGTGGGGTAAAGTGCAGGTAACTACCAGCCCCTCCCCCCCTCTCCACTCCACTATAGCGGCCTCTAAGTGGCACGTCGGACTGTTGCAGGGCTCCGCCTCTATCTCATCATGCTCGCTGAGAGAGGGGGGGGAGGTGTTTGTTGACCTCGTACTTCCGTCTTTGTCTCTCCTCTTCCTTTCCCGCAAACCATGAGGGGGCGAGGGGGAGAGGGGAGATGGGGCTCACAATGGCCATGTCATGAAGTTCACAGTGGAATCACGTCACAAATGGGCCGGGGGTTTCCCTCCCCCCCCTCCCGTGTCTCTCTTTCCCCGTGTCTCTCTCACTCCGTGTCTCTCTCTCTGCGTGCCTCTCTCCCTACGTGTATCTCTCCGTGTATCTCTCCCCATGTCTCTTTTCCTGTCTTTGTCTCTCTCCCCGTGTCTCTCTACTGCTCTCCGTGTCTTTCTCTGTGTCTCTCTCTCCGTGTCTCTGTTTCTCTGCCCATGTGTCTCTCTCTCCCCGTGTCTCTCTCTCCGTGTGTCTTTCTCTACGTGTGTCTCTCTTCCCATGTATCTCTCTCCCCGTGTCTCTCTCTCCGTGTGTCTTTCTCTGCGTGTGTCTCTCTTCCCATGTTTCTCTCTACCCCCGTGTCTCTCTCGCTCTCTTTTTTTTACGATCAGAGGAAACAAGAAGATGCTCGGTGTAGTCGGCACTTTGCTTCGTTCATCGTTTCAATGTTTTTGTTTTTTGTTTTCAATGCTTTCTTCCAAGTGTCTTTTTCTCCCCGTGTCTCTGTCTCCCACTGTCTTTCTCTATCTCTTCCCATGTCTCTGTTACCATTGTCTCTCTCTCCCAGTGTGTGTCTTTCTCTCCCACTGTCTCTCTCTCCCCGTGTCTCTCTCCAGCTCTCTCCAGTTCTCTCAGTCGGTTCCCAAGTGGCCGCGTCACTCGGTTCACGTCTGTGTCCCTTTATCTGTGTAAGTGTGGTAGAGCGGTGGTGCAGTGTCATTATTGAAACTATTGAAAACCAATTTTATTTGTACCAGGTATAAGGCCCCATGAAACTACGTAGCTCTATTCTTTGGGTCTTTCGGTAAAGTCACGTAGAACAAAATAATTTACAAAAAACGACGACGTTTCGATCGCAACACAAGCAATCGTCATCAGGATGACGTGACTTTACGGAAAACCCAAAAAATATGACTTCCTGCAGTCACGAACGCTTTACGTCAATATCTACGTAGCTCTTCTTCAGAAGGCCTGACCTGGCTATCAACAACATGATGGCAGCTCAACCAAGTCGCCGATATTATCATCATCGCTATCAACATCACCTGGAAATGCATAGCAGCAGGCAAATAATCTAGACGCGTTTTTCTACAGACTCATAGAGACCCACAGAGACCCATAGATACCGATACTCATCGAGATCCATACTAAACTTCATAATAGACGCTGTGTTGGGTTAGATCGCGTAAGTATATAAATGTGTCGTTAAAACCCGAAACCACCCTACACAGACAACCAGTCAGGGTTGTCACGCAAACAGAACGTGCCAATCCGTCACTAGTACATCACTAGTGTATAGTGTATATTGTAGTGTATAGTGCAGTGTATATTGTAGTGTATAGTGCAGTGTATAGTGTAGTATATAGTGTAGTGTAAAGTCGTACAGCATACCGGTGTGTTGTTGAAGAGCCAAGGATCTCCAACACACCGGCGTGCTGTACTAGTGACGAATTGGCCACGTTCTGTTTACGTGACAACCCTTACTAGTTGGCTGTGTCGGGTGGTGGCGGGTTTTAACGACACATTTATATATTTACGCGACCTAACCCCAAAAAGATCTATCATAGATGATATTGGTCACGAAAGCCTGCTACGTGTTAAACTTAAACAAAACACTCTATTATTTATTTTACCAGGCGAGGACACACTGAGCTGCGTAGCCCTTTTGCAGAAGTGACCTCGCCACAAATCATAGCTCAACGAAATGGCTGCTATCATCAGCTGCAAATGTATAGCAGCCAAATACTCTGAACGCATGATGTTTATTCTATATGAGAAGGACCCGGATACAAATCCACGCGTCCACGGAGAGAGAGAGACGCAGACTCCAAATATAGAGCAGGCATCAGTGTCTGGATCGTACCCACAACCTCCTGTATACCAGGCGAGTTGTTTAACATCTCGTAGGGTCGGGGTCGAACCCACGACTTCCTGTATACCAGGCGAGGTAGGTAACATCTCGCAGGGTCGGGATCGAACCCGCGACTTCCTGCATATCAGGCGAGTTGTTTAACATCTCGTAGGGTCGGGATGGAACCCGCGACTTCCTGCATGCCAGGCGTGGTAGTTAACATCTCGCCACCATGGCACCAACAACCGTCGTGGAAGTTTATCTTCATATTTGTCTCTCTCTCTCCCTCCGTCTCAGGGCCACGCTGCAGACCCGGCAGACCGTCTGCCTGGACCCATTCTCGCCTCGCATTCAGAGACTCATCCGCTCCCGCAAGGTGCGTTGGGTGGGTGGGTGAGTTGGTGGGTGGATGAGTTGGTGGGTGGGTTAGTTGGTGGGTGGGTAAGTTGGTGGGTGGGTGGGTGAGTGAGTTGGTGGGTGGGTGGGTGAGTGAGTTGGTGGGTGGGTGGGTGAGTGGTGGGTGGGTGAGTATGTCGGTGAGTGAGTTGGCGGGTGGGTGAGTGAGTCGGTGGGTGATTGAGTGAGTGAGTGGGTAAGTGAGCGGATGGGTGAATGAGCGGATGGTTAGGTGAGTGGATGGGTAGGTCAGTGAGTGGGTGGGTGGATGGGAGTGTGGATGGTTGGGTGAGTGAGTGGATGGGGAGGTGAGTGGATGGGTGAGTAGATGGGTGAGTGGATGGAAGAGTGGGTGCTATTCACCCCTAATACCACGTAACCCTCTCCTCGGCCCCCCTCCCACTCCTTTTCTTCACGTGACAGAATCTGCCCGCGTGCGCCATCCGCGCGATGACGTCATCGAGGAGTTAGGCTGGGTGGGGGTGGAGGGCGGGGCGAGCGGGGCGTGACGTCACATGAGCAGTGAGGGGCGTCACGTCAGATGAGGAGCAGTGTGGCGTCATGTCCCAGGCGGAGGGAGCAGTGGGCGTGACGTCACAGGAGAAAATGGCGCAGTGAGGCGTGACGTCACAGCGTTGCCGGTTCAAAGCTGTGACGTGCGGGGCGGGAGAGCTGATTGGACTACTATAAGAATGAGAAATTAAATATTTATTTTAGACTGGAGGAGGAATCCGATGAGCTATAAAGCTCTTTGTTCACAGATGGGTCCAGGAGGAGAAACACGTAGTCAGAACGTTACAACAACAAACACGGCACTACACAAGCACGATAGGAGGTGTGCAACCGTATAGAAAAATGTAAACAAAGCACTTTACAACAAAGAAAAACACACAAATAAACCTGCAACTATTTTTTTTTATCCCACTGAGCTCTTCCCTTCTTGAGAAAAAGGGTTACGTGGTACTAGGGGTGAATATCACCCACTCACCCATCCATTCACCCACTCACCCATCCACGCACCCACTCACCCCTCCACGCACCTACTCACCCCTCCACGCACCCACTCACCCCTCCACGCACCCACTCACCCATCCATTCACCGACCTATCCACTAACTCACCCACCCACTCACTCATCGACTCACCTACCCATCCACTAATTCACCCACCCACTCACTCACCAACCCACTCACTCACCCAATCATCCATCCACTCACCCACCGACTCACTCACCCACCCACTCACCCACTTACCCACTCATCCACCCACTCACCCACTTACCCACTCACTCACCCACCCACGCACCCATCCATTCTTGAGAAAGAAGCGACCTGAGATTATACTGCAGTAGCAATAGGAATCCCATGAGCTGTGAAGCTCTTGTTCGCCGACTGGGGGTTGACGTGCAGCCAGGCAGATGTCCAGTCTCGGCACACGGGGGGCAGAATGCCGCAACAACAATCACGATAGGAAGAGTACAACAATATAGGAAGGTAAGATTAGCTATATGCAAATAAAACTGCAACTGTCGGTGGTGCTAACGTTAGCAAAACCGCCACTTTTTTCAAATTTTCTTGCTGTGGTTTTCACACCTGATGATGATTGCTTGTGTTGCAATCGAAACGTCGTGATAATTTTATTGTTTTATTTTTATTATTTCCCTTCTACGTGACTTTACGGAAAGAACCAAGAATATGAAATAAGCTAAATTATCTAAATGCGAGATGGCCCTCTGTGGAGGAGGAGGCTCCTTGGCAGTCCCAGGTTAGGTGCACCTTGAGGCCACTGGACAGTTGGAGGCAGTCGCCATCCAACAACAGCGGAGGGAAAGAGGAGCGACGCTCACAACAACGAGCGGAGATTGGGTGGCTAAAACGCAGCAAGTTGGCACAGTAAGGGGCACAGTTGGTGCATCGGCCACTCATCTCAGTCAACCAATGGCACCTGCTGGGTCTGTCCGTGGCTTCCTTCTGCACCTAGCCTGGCACAGCAGTCAACCCCATGGCACCTGCTGGGTCTGCCCCGTAGCTTCCTCCTGCACCTAGCCTGGCACAGCAGTCAACCCCATGGCACCTGCTCGGTCTGCCCCGTAGCTTCCTCCTGCACCTAGCCTGGCACAGCAGTCAACCCCATGGCACCTGCTGGGTCTGCCCCGTGGCTTCCTCCTGCACCTAGCCTGGCACAGCAGTCAACCCATGGCACCTGCTGGGTCTGTCCCGTGACCTCCTCCTGCACCTAGCCTGGCACAGCAGTCAGAAGCAGCGAGCCTTCGACACTTCACCTGGCCTCGGAGTGCACCTAGCCTGGCACAATCGCCGTGGCGACGACGAGTTACGAGGCTAACGCCATCGTTAGCACAGACCACAACCCCATCGGCTAGTCCACGCCTCCTTCACCAACATAAACCACGCCTCTCCAACCTACGCAGCCAATCCCCAGGCAGACCGCGACCACCGTAAATTGGTAAGCCCCGCCCTTACATTAGCATAACCAACTCCCCTCCCCCATACGGCCTTCACGTAAGTCAGACCACACCCCCTCCATAAGCCCCGCCTTCTCATTAAGATAGACCACGCCCCCTCCGCTAGCCCCGCCCCGTCATTAACATAGACCAGGCCACTTCCGTTAGCCCCGTCTATCTCATTAACATAGACAACGCCCCCTCCGCTAGCCCCGCCCCGTCATTAATATAGACCAGGCCACTTCCGTTAGCCCCGTCTATCTCATTAACATAGACAACGCCCCCTCCGTTAGCCACACCTTCTCATTAACATAGACCACGCCCCCTTCCGGCGAGCTCCATTAATTTCAGACGCAGTGTGTACTGGCAGTACACACGCAGTATAGCAACATTGTACCGACATTATACGTACACAGTATAGACAGTATACAGTACACGAAGTACTGACAGTATACGTACAGTATATATACATTATCTAAAACTACTGACAGTATACACAGTATACACGCTATGTATTCAGTATAGACAGTATAGAATACATAAACTACTGACGGTATATATACAGTAAATACAGTATATGTATTCACTTTACTTGCTGCACTGCGGTGCGCAGAATTACACCTGAACCCATAATACCTCGCTGTCATCATCAGCAACATCATCAGCAACATCATCGTCAGCATCATTATCATCAGCACCATAATCATCAACATCGTCAGCATCATCATCAGCAACATCTATGTCATCATCAACATCGTCAGCATCATCATCAGCACCATCATCATCAGCAACATCTACATCATCATTATCAGCAATATCAACATCATCAGCACCATCATCATCAGCAACATCATCAACATCAGCACCATCATCGTCACCATCGTGATCATCATCATGCTTCACCGCTGGGTCCATTGTTTGTCTGTGGAACCGTCGGTCAACCCCCCCCCCCCCCCAATAAAAAAGCGTCAACTCCGCACCACCACTCCACTTAGTGCTGTCTGTTGCTGGTCGTTCGGCGTCGTCGTCAGTGAGTGAGTGTCTCTCTCTCTGTGCGCTCGCCACGCTACGAACCCGGCTGTGATCCAGTTCCGGATGATCCTCGCAGCAAAAGTAGCACAAGTAGATATACGTGTAGTAGATACATCATATGTAGTAGTAGATACATCATATGTAGTAGTAGCCACATCATATGTAGTAGATACATATGTAATAGCTACGGGCCCCGCATTTGTGTAACGGGTTCCGGAGACACTTGTAGAGGTAACTTCTTTATTACAATACAACACTCCAACAGTACTCCAACAGTCCTGATACTCTGTTACAACCTAGATACACAGCCTAGCTACACAGCCTAGATACTCTACTCTGGCTATGCTCTGGAACTCGCCCTCACAAGGTCGTAGAGTCGGGAGTTCCAGAGTCCCAGCGCTGGCTCTCACAGCATCCCAGGGTCTTCAGATGGCTGGTCGTGGGTCTTGGGTCTTGAGTTACAACTGGGCCCTGATCGTCCAGGGAGCTCTTCTTTTATGCCTGGTCCAACGAGGGGTGGGGCCGTGTGCGCCACCAGACATCCCACAGAGCACACACAGCCCCCCCCCCCGTTGGCGGCGCCCAGAGACTTAAGCGTCTGGACCCCCTGGGAACCCAGCGCCTGGCGCCCAGAGGCTTAAGCGTCTGGACCCGCCCGGGAACCCAGAGCCCCCAGCAGCCCCTCCCTTCTTATGTCACTACATTACCCCCCTCTACGTAGCCTCCAGCCGTCCCGGCTGTCAATAATTAGAAAGTTTAAATTAACGAAAGGGAGAGAGAGAAAAAAAAAATACGCGAGCCTCAACAGGAAAAGAAAAGAGAACAAGAAAGCAACCATAAATACCATAACCAACCTGTACAACTCTGCACTATATACAAGCATCAATCAACAAAAAGGTGACGCAATGACACGTGAACAAACAACCCGCGGCACACCTAGCCCTCCTCGGGATCCGCATAGAAAACGGAGAATTAACAACAACAAATATACAGATTCCGACGCGTTGGATGCACAACCAACACCGGTAATCGAACAGAAATCACACAACCACCGCATGGATGGCAGGAATCCACACCACTCTGCCAGCCTCCCATCCGTCAGGTGGAGAGAAGGCGAAGACCAACATGTCGAGCATCCCTCTACACACACTTATCCGGACATCTGTCTACGTCCCGGGTCGAGAAGTCGTACTTCAGGGCCGACCCATGTACTGGGCAAAGAAGTCGCACTTCAGGGCTGCACCAGTATCTACATTTTTAAATATATATATATAAAATTTACATGACACAACCAAAATAAATCTGCCTGCTCCTGTCCATAAATGGTGGCCGCACGCACGAACCGCATCTCCAAAGCATCCCGTGCTTGCGTCCCAGCAGCCCTCAATGAGGACCACCACCGACATTACATGTCAACCGTTTGCACCCCCCGCCTTTCCAACGTGGCGTCTCCATCCTAAAACCGCGCACGTCGGCCATATCGGGGGGGACTTCAACCCAGTCTCTCTCCAAGACTCGCATCGCAGCATATAGCTGTACCGACCGATCTGAGACCCAACCTCTCTCCAAGACTCGCATCGCAGCATATAGCTGTACCGACCGATCTGAGACCCAACCTCTCTCCAAGACTCGCATCGCAGCATATAGCTGTACCGACCGATCTGAGACGACTCATTGTTCACTCCCTGCACAACATGCACCCTAACAACTGAGGGATACAGTCCCAACGTAACGGGACAACTACACCTGAACACCACGAATCTCCAGCCCACTGTTTCAACGTGCCTCGGAGTGTTTCAATCTCCGGGCCGTCAGGGCGAGCCTACTGCTCAAGACGCACCACGGAGGGTCTCAACCTCCGGGCCGTCAGGTCAAGCCGTCAGCCATAGCATGACGGGACCACACTCTCCGAACCATGTGAACACACAGCCCACTAGGCTAGACATGCCACGGAGTGTCTCTATCTCCGGGCTGTCAGGTCAAGCCGTCAGCCATAGCATGACGGGACCACAACTCTCGTGTTAGACATGCAACACCCGCTGGGCCATTGTCACCATCTGAAGATAAATGCCCCATACAGTATATACATCGTTAACAATGACAGCACAAGCTATACATTAACAATCACGAACAAAGCTCAATACAAACCATACATTGTTAACAATCACAAGCAAAGTTTCGCACACACATTGACAACACTCACGGGCGAAGCTCCACACAGTTTACCCAACAACAGTCACGACTCCCCGACGACAACGAAAAAAATGTCAACAAAAAAATCATTAATCCGGAGCGCGTAAATGTACGAAATGTCAGGGGCCTGGTCTCCCGACCTCCAACCTTTGGCCAGAGCAGCAAAGGCGGCGACCTGCATGTCGGTCCATGTGCTGGCCCCGGCGCTGGTTACAGTAAGAATGGCGCCCTCACTGTCCGGTCGCGGCGCTGATGACGCGGTATGCTAGATTGAAGCCAGCTGTCGTCCGGCAGTGAAGGTCGCAGCGCTGATGACGCGGCGTTGCTAGGTTGCAAACAGCTGTCACCCGGCAGTGAGGGACGCAGCACTGATGACACGGCGTCTCCGGGATGGCCCACGCTGGGCCCGGAAGTGACGTCGCTCCCAGCGGTCACTGCTCCTCCGGTGGAAGTGATGTCATTCCCGGAAGTATCCTTCACATCCGTGGGGGGAATGGCGGCGGCGGGCTCGGGCGAGCGCGGCGCCTCCTCTCTCCAACCCGCCATCGGTCGCGAGCACCGCATCTCGCCCAGGACGGAGGCGGTGGCGCAGAGCAGCCCTGCCAGGCGAAGCAGCGCCTCCTCCATTTTTGCTCCCGACGCTGGAGAGGGGACGGTCGGCGGAGCAGACAGCTGCTTAGCCGGGGCTGCCTGCTCCTCTTCATCGCCGTCAGGACTGAAGGTACGTGGCTTACTTCTTGTCTCCATAGCCACTTCTGACGCCAAATGTTACGGGTTCCGGAGACACTTGTAGAGGTAACTTCTTTATTACAATACAACACTCCAACAGTACTCCAACAGTCCTGATACTCTGTTACAACCTAGGTACACAGCCTAGCTACACAGCCTAGATACTCTACTCTGGCTACGCTCTGGAACTCGCCCTCACAAGGTCGTAGAGTCGGGAGTTCCAGAGTCCCAGCGCTGGCTCTCACAGCATCCCAGGGTCTTCAGATGGCTGGTCGTGGGTCTTGAGTTACAACTGGGCCCTGATCGTCCAGGGAGCTGTTGTATATGTTGGTTATCAAAATTTGTTATGTTGTATGCGTGCGTGGGTGAAATTATTATGTTGTATATGTGGGTTATGAATATTCAGTGAAAATAATAATAATTAAATGAAATCTGGCCAAATGTGTAATTATCCGGAAATATGTTAATTTATGTAATTACGCACATTTTAATTATGCCAATTCGAGAGGTAATCGGATTAATTATGCGAGTGGGTGTAATTATGATAATACAAGTCGTTATGATAACCAGACCCCGCCTCGGTGACGAGGGTGGGTTATCGATCGGAATAAGGCAATTAATCGTATGCAGTTATGCAGGTGTGGTGTAAGTATGCAAGATTAACTTAGATTAACTCGGCATCGTTGTCTAGGTTCGTCTCATTCTCGCTTTAACATTCCCAGAGTTTTATTCGTGGTTATATTTTTAGGTCCCCGGTTCACCCCGTTATCGCTTTAACATTTACTGAGTATGTATTAGTGTGTTTATTAAGGTCACCAAGTTCAAATCTCAACGCAGAAGCAGATCTTATGCATAGATTTCAGGAAAGAATCACACAACCACTTCTGTATTGATCAATTTATTACTAATTCAACCTTAACTATGATATAATATGCGAACTCTCAATCCCGGAACGTCAACACGGCATCAATACAGTATCATCAACGATTGTCTGATTTCACTTTGACAACTGCACATGGATCCCGCATAACGCGATGGTTGTTAGTGAGAGAGAGTCGTTAAAACACGCAAATACTATGCTAAGAAAACCTTAATGTTAATGAATGATTATACTCAATATTGTTCACGCAGTACCACACTCCTTATTGACCATACGCAACCCTTATCACGTTGTTAACACCTTGGGTCACGGGACAGTTGAATGTTCTGTAGAGGATGCGAGTACGTGCGGCGATTATGACTGGAAGATACTTGAAAGATTATACGGCGATAAAAAAACACAATCAAAAACAGTTATTATTCTTAAAGGCACCAATCTCAACAGATACATCGGCAGGTTTTCTGACAACAGAACGGCTCGGAGTAAGGGCCTGCGACGGTGCTCCTTTTCCGAAGCTCGTTATCTTATACCAAGTTTACTAATTGGGGACCAGATCACCTGATAAGGATCCGGTGGGCCACCACTCCCCACGTGAGCGTGGCTCGGCGGAAGGAGGTGCCAAGAATCAGTTCGTATTGATGGATCTGTTGGGAATTTATGCGATTAAGAGTACAGCCCACTAAATATTAAAGATAAAAATTAAGAATACTCTTATAAACGACGGAGGGCCATCACTCGGTCTCGTTGTGATGCTTTCCAGCCACGGATGGCTTATGGGTTCGAGTGTTTTTGAGTGGTAAGAGTTGTCTTGAATAGTCAGTGTTCGGAGTCGATTCTTTAGGTCAAACAGACGCCTGGTGGTCGTGTGGTGAGGGGGCGGTGCGCGTCATACGTATCAGTCGATCCCCTGTCACCGTGGCGAACTGGTTCGGATGGCTGTTGATACGCTGTCGCAGTTCGGAACCCGGTCGGTAGGTGGCGCCCACAACTCGCTCGTAGCGTGCAGCTCTGGGTTGTCGCCGAACCGCGATGCTCACCACTCCGGTGGCAGCAGAGACCCCCGATTCGGCAGAGGTTGACGAGCTGAAGATGAGTCGAGCCGACCCGCTGGTCGCAG